TCTTTCTTAGAGGAAATATGTTCCTGTCACACCCCAAATCGGCTCAACATGTGATAGGTGTTACTTTAATCCACAAAAAGTTATAGTGCTGAGAAGTTTACGTAGCATAGTATAATAACCCACAATTTACAAACCACAAATTATTGTATAAACATATGCAAAAATTTTAACCTAACATAATTTGAACTATTACAACCTATTATTCAATTAAGTATACATTACATACTAGATTTTCTTTTATTCTACTACAAACTTCTGATACAACTTCCTAAAATATATAGAAACCTTGGTAGGTTATTATGTACACATCTCCCAGCTTTCTCATATCTGAAAAAGGGAAAGTAACGTAGGATGAGCATCAACAGCTCAGTAGAGTATCTCAATTTCTAAGTAAACTAGTTTCAAAATAGTATAGTTTAGCATGATTGGGCAAGAATCCAAACGAGCAGTTGATACATATATGTCAGCAAAATGCCATTTCATGTGAAACTATAACAGATAAATAAAATTGTAAAAGAGAGTTCAGAAATTTAAGTACAGTGCTACACTGGTGGGCAATTCATCTTAATAGACCACTAAAAGATACGAACATACAATCCAACCTTTTGAGGGACTTGCATTCCGAGGAAGATACGCTCCCTAGTCAACGTTCAATACTCAAGTCCAAAGACCAACAGGGCCACTCAGGCATTTACAAACTCAATGAGTACACTCTACAGCCTCAAACTGGAATATAAACTCTTTTGCCACTCGACCCATGTGCACTTATTTTCCATAAACAAAATCAAAGAGTTTCATTTAATACGAACAATTCAAGCAATACTATTATTTCCAAAATGTTAATGTAACCTGCACTCTGAAACCTTGTATCTGGGTCTGGATCCAAGTCAATATTCAAAACACCCAATCAAATATTTCAAAACATGCTAAAAAATCATAAATAAATTATGGAATAATTTGAAAACAAGTTGAAAAAGCATTGCTTGTTTCGGAATTGAGGAACCTTACCCGCTCGATATTTTGATCTGAAATAACCAAAAATTAAAAAATGTTATTTTTTGATGAATTTAATATACATACTCAATTAAACTACCTAAGAATGAATATAAAATTTATTTTCTCAAAATCACTCAAAACTAGGTTAATTTGACCCTGGAGGATAAAACAGTCATTTTACTCCTCATTTTGATCCGGCCGTCGGATTGACTTGAAATTTTACTGGGACCTCCACATGAACGTTACGGAGCTTTTGGAATAAACCAGAGATCGGACGTAGCCAAAATTACCATCAAAATCCATTGGTATCTAACTCCCACTTCATCTTCAACCTTTGTCTTTTTGACTTTTTGCCCTAACTGCAGAAATTTCTGCTCAACAACTCTTCTTTGACCACTCTATTCTCCCACTACAATACACCATATCATTTAATTTTAACATCCATATGCTCCTTTGATAACCTAGTATCAATCCCTCTTAGACTCAACCTTTGAATTAAATTCTAACATCATCAAATTATTGGTCAAAGTTGGCCAAAAAGTATTTTTTTAAACACATGGCTAGACCTGCAATTGCCTGTTTCACCCTCCAAACAAACTCTAAATCCAATTCCGAAGCCAGAAATGGATTCCTTGACCCCAAATTAGCTAGATGCAAGCCTCCTTTCGAAGTTTACACAAATTTTTATCAAAATCATATTTTCAGTTTCTCAAACCCTCACACCACCATTACACCACCACACACCATGACAAAACACCAAACCACCACTAAAAAACTCCTTAAGAACCTTCAAACTCAGCCATACCAAACAATTTACCCAAATCATGCTCAAATCTCAAACCCATTTCAAAATCCAAAAACCCACTAAACTTTAAAACACAAATTCATGCATGAATACTAAACCAAATGAAAACCTAAATACATATATGAGTTCCTAGCATCCATATTAGGCTGTGTGTATACCTCTTAGTGCTCGAAGTAGTCTCTGCAAGAAATTCAAAAATTCAAAGTTTATACTTTCTCTCTCTACTTCTCTTTCTCCTCTCTATTTTCCCATCGAATCCTTCTCCATTTTATCCCCCCCCCCAAGCAGCTGGGTGTCCTCCATGCAAGCTAGCAAACCTCCATCAGCCACCCTGCATGTGTAGAAGAGTCTTGAAACTTCAATGGCAGTTTGGTAATTTTCCTATTTTGTCTGTGGCAGTTTGGTAATTTCTTTATTTTGTCTAATTTCAAAAATTAATTAATAATATTATTTTTTTTTCACAATTACATATATATTAAATCAAGCACTATAAAATTATCGATTAAAATTTTGAATATCGATTTGAACTCCTAACCGTACACATCCAACGATCCCTAATTATCAAAACTCGGTTATTATAGTTCTAGATCTTCTCTCAGACATTGGGATACTGGGATGCAAACCGGCATCATCAACCATAATTCCAAACCTAAAGCTTATTGCCGAAGGTGAGGCATTGAGAGAACTGAATGTCTATTAGAGGTTGGTAGATAGACTTATCTACCTAGCCAACACTAGGCCAAACATTTCATTTGCTATAAGTCGAGTTAGTCAGTTCATGCACAAGTCGTATCAGTCTCATCTTGATGCAGTTTATCATAATCTTTGGTACCTCAAGTCTTGCCCTAGACTTGGGTTATTCTATGCATCAGGATCTCAGACTAGTTCTCTAGCCCGTTATTTAAATTAAGATTATGGGGAAGCATGTGACGGTCGATCTACTATGAGTTTCTGTGTTTTTCGGTGGACTCATCTTATCTCTTAGAAGAGTAAGAAGCAGATAGTTGTCTCCCGCTCATCAGCAAAGGCAGGGTGTCCGGCACTAACACTTGACACGTGTGAGATTATCTGGCTACAATTGATTCTTGGCGAATTAGGATTTCCAGTGACTTCTCCTTCCATATTATATTGTGATAAACGATCTACGATTCAGCTCACTGATGAGAATGCAAATTGTTATATTTTTCTCTTTTAATATTTAGCCTTTTATACTTATTTGGTGCCTAAATGTACTCATTATTTTTATATTTTGATTTAGGATGCAAATAGAGATGTTAAATGCAAAACAAAGCTAATTGGATGATTTTGTACAGTTTTGACATCACTTTGTTATCTAGGCATAACTCTCTCATCCGAGCTCCAATTGAGATGATTCAAGATGATATGAAATGCTAAGAAAACGCTCTACAATTTTTGTGTTTTGAGTTTTAAGAGATATTGGCTGAATCAAAGTCAAAATCGGGATTGAAGTTATAGCATGTGCACTGTTCACGTTGCGGAACCTGGTGCACGAAATTCCAGTGGACAATTTCCTAGTTATATTAGGACTTTATTTTATTCTTAATCTTATCCTTAAATAGTCAGACTTGAGGATGTTTTCAAGGAGAGGAGGGATGAAAGGGTAAAGGGGGAAAAAGAAGAAAAAAATTAGAAGACTTCGCATGCGGCTATACCCCCTTCTTCTCTAACTCTTCCTTCCAGTTTTCATGATGGCCTGCGTGGCTAAAATTTGATACTTGGTTTAAGGAAACGGAAGCCTCGAAATCAATAAAATTGTGAGATCTAATTTATTTTTATTGTTCAATTTATGATTTGAGTATCGGATGTTGTGTTGTGCCTATTTTCATGAATGTCTCGTTTAATTACTAGGAGGCCTACTAGTTTATTATTCGTTGCAATCTACTACTAGGTTAGATATCAGATCCATAATTGTTTTATCACTCAAATTTGTGAAGCAACTAAGATTAAATGATTTGCTACATCAGAAATTATTACTTCTTAGGAAGAATGCTCAACTAAATTCAATGCAACCATTTATGCTTGTGTTGTTTAGTTTCATCGATCTTTCTAATTCTTAAGACTACTATTAGATTAGACCTTTAATACTTGTTTTGGGTTGTTTAGTATTTAAGGTTAATTAGATCGCTTGTTTTCTAATTAATTGAGACTAAGGAGAGATAGAAAGATAGTTCAAACGGTGAATATTTAGATAGAGAATTGATATATACTTGCATTGATGATCAGTTGTAAAATTTCGCTGGTGGATGTTGACTTAGACCAAGATTTGTTCTTTTGATTGATTTTAATACTTTAATTTGAATTGTTTCTTAATTGTTTTTCTTAAAATTGTTTTCGTTAAACTCGAACCCCCTCTATCCTTGTTCACATAGCATAAAACTAGGTTAAATACTCTCCGTGGGAACGACCTTACTCTCACTACTACATATATTTTTATGAGTATAGGTTTTATTTTTAGTTGTCTGCGACAGCACACCACTCACTTCTGACTTTGTATTACATGAGAGGACGAAACATATAAAGATCGATGTTCATATTTTTTTGGGAGAAGGTTAGTTGTGGTATTATCACTCTATCGTTTGTAAGGATCTGTGATTGGGTTGCAGAAATTTTCATCAAACCTGTCGNTTTTTTTCGGGAGAAGGTTAGTTGTGGTATTATCACTCTATCGTTTGTAAGGATCTGTGATTAGGTTGCAGAAATTTTCATCAAACTGATCGTCCTATCCATTCTTGTTTTTTTTTTTTTGCCTTTACTATGACTTTTATGTATTNTATTTTTTTGGGAGAAGGTTAGTTGTGGTATTATCACTCTATCGTTTGTAAGGATCTGTGATTGGGTTGCAGAAATTTTCATCAAACCTGTCGTCCTATCCATTCTTGTTTTTTTTTTTTTGCCTTTACTATGACTTTTATGTATTGCCTAGACCAAAGGAGTATTTTGGTCGCTTTGTATTATTATTTGGCTATATATATACTTGGCTCTGTATTCAGTTTGTGCATCCCTTTCACTCATAGATACTTCATGAAATAAGCTAAATGGGAAACCTGTCTCAGCTCAGCCCTCTCTTCTTAGAAACATGCGAATAAGGTGATCCAATAAGATATTGCCTCGCAATATATAAAAATGACATGGATACTGCAAGTGGTCCAAGGCTGAAAGTTTCGTTGTCTGTCCAATCCTAAGTCCTCCACCATGCTCTTCTAGGATTCATGCTGCAGAATGTTGTTATATTACTACTAATTTCAAGATCAGTGTAAAATGGCATGGCAATATAACAAAGATTGAAAAATTCAAACCGGTCTTCATAAAGTATCTTGTTGTCTTCTGTGTTGTTCACAGTTGTAGCTGTGAGGATTTCTCCTGTAATACACACATTTGACTGATTCAATGATATGCTTATGACACGTACAATACAAGCATGTACCTAGACCTCAGGTATATTGGCTTTATGGGTGCTCTTTATCGTGTTTGTCATTATAGGAATTTCTGCAAGTTAAGATATATTGCATGAACTACTTTGGATATTCACAGAGCAGTGTCGGACTGACACTGTTCTCTGAATGTGGTTTAGTTCAACTAAACTCAACAAAGTCTTGTCTCAAGAATTGGATTGGCTCTGAAAATCCTTGAGCTGGAGCTGACTGAACCTGGATTCCTGCTAACTTAATATATCTGGCCCCCATTATCGACTGTAGGAGCTGTACAAAAACAATGCCACCATTTTTGTTTGAATCTTAGACAGCTTGCCTAGGAGCATTACGAGGTTGCTTTTTCTGGGATTTATCTCTTTCTTTGAGACCATCTCATCTAACTCTTGGTGTTCCTTTGTTGCTGGTTGTTTTTCCATGTCAAAAAATCAAACTGTACATTGAAAAATTTTCTGCCCCTATATGACTTTTGTACAAAAGATTTTCAAGCCCAATATAATGAGTTGTAACTGAAAACATTGTAATACATATAAAACCAAAACAAATTACAAAAGAAAAAAAAAACTGCTGAATGGGAGAAAAACAAAGATTTTCCCCTTTTAAGATGACCAGCAATTCTGATACTAAACTGTGTATGGATAAGAAATCAAAGAATCAAACCATGAAGTCCAATATAATAAGGTTACTAGACGTGGCTAAAATCCTTTATGAATGAGAAAAAAAGAGTAAACTCAGCCCCATTTTGTTAAGTCGTAATGTTTACTTTCACAAATGGCTGAATACAGTGGAAAAAAAATGGAAACTGCCATTCACGAACCAGAAAGAGATGCCTTGGTGATGGAAGGTGGCGGTGGAGTAAGAAATGCGTCGTCTGTCCAGTTTGTCTCGCCCCAGTGCCGTAACATGCTCTTCCAGGAACATAATTTGTCAATGCACTTCTTCAAACGCCGATCCTTTATTTTGATTCTCCAATGTCCATCTGTGTAGTTCCCCTCTTCGGCTTGCCTCCGGTCCCACTCTAACTGTGCCTTCTGCTTTGTTCTCAATAGGCATAATGGCTGCAATTGTTCTGGCATTGCATCATGAACTTTCCACCATCTATTATGAGCAACATCACTAGCAAATTCTTGTAATATATCCACATTCCAGTTGCAGTCGTAGTCCCGGAAGCACAACCATGGCTTATATCCAAGATAGTGGAGGACATAGAGAATTGGAGGCTCAGCCCCGAAAAGGTGAATTTTCTTCTGTTTTACAGCTTCATCATCACCAACCCAAAAATGCTTCAAGAAATTCATGTGTTTTGGTATCCTATGCCACCATGTAAATATTTCATTCAAGTACCCCTGGTCTCCACCATTATAGGACTCAATTTCATTGATGTGATCCATTAAAAGCTGGAACGTAAAATTTGATGGCTCAATCACCATTACACCTGAGTTGAAAAGACTGCCATTGTTTCCTGTTGCAGAAATCTCTGGCATTCCAAATAAGAAATCAATGTTTCTTAGTATAAGCATGTCAGCATCAATAAAAATGATCTTGTCATAATCTGTTAGCTGCCATAGTCGGAACTTGCTATAATTCCATTCGTTGTAGGCGTCTTTCTCGGCTTTTGGATTTCTTATTCTCTGGATTGTCCGGATTTTCCATCCTGCTGCTTCTAATCCACTCCTGTGATAATTACTGATTGAATCATCGACAAGTATTACGAGATCCCTCTTGGACCCTGCCATGCGGATGCTTTGGGCAGCAGCAATTGCTCCACAAACATAAACATGAGCAGAATGCAGGATTGTAGCATACGCCTCCCGTTGAATGTTTCCTAAGTAATCTCCTTCTGTTTCCAACATAATTTAGTATATTTTTTTCAATTAATTATTAGCAAAGGCAAATTTACATGTAAAGGTAGGGCTTAAATAAATAAATGATCATCATAGCTCCGTCAAGATGCAAAAACCATACTAACAAGTTCGGTACTAAAATATAACATGCAGTTGAAGTAGAAACTGTGTTCCTCAAATATGATGATGTGTATATCTGATATTTTCAATGATGTTAATCCTCGAAGGGTTTGCATATCGTAGGATTTTAATTTCAATAAAAGCAGTGTCACAAAGACCACGCTTCAAAATGCCTGTATTCTGTGGAAAGAGCAAAAACTGAAGTCACCAGAACCTTGTTTGGAATGGGAGAAATTAGCAAGAGCTAACTATAGTGGTGATTAACAGGACAGTTTTGCCCTTTTGGAAAATATGGTGTTTCATTTGTACGTTGCTATGAAGGACTGGCATTTCCAAGTCAATATTACATGGGGTTTTTTTTTTGGGGGGGAGGGAGGGAGGG